GATCTTGGCGTCCGAAAAACGTTGTAGCGGGTTAATTCTAGTTATAGTATGGTTATAACGACTCACATAGGGAGTTAACAACATTTCAAGTTTACGGGAAAATGCTACTTAACAAAGGGATTTTATCTATCTAAAACTACAAACACGTTATAAGTACAAAATACACACATACTCTCGGTCTTGCGATTTAAGACTACATGACTTTTATAAGGAAAATATTGGATTTTCTTGGGTACACATTTCAATTACAAACACGTTATAAGTACAAAATACACACACACATACTCTCGGTCTTGGGATTTAAGACTACATGACTTTTATAAGGAAAATATTGGACTTTTTTGGATACACATTACAATTTCAAACATGTTATAAGTACAAAACACACACATACTCTCGGTCTTGGGATTTAAGACTACATGACTTTTTATAAGCAAAATAATGTATTTTTCTTGAAGCATACATTACCATACAAACTCTACATCCAAATGCTTATGAACTCACCAACTTAATTGTTGACTCTTTTTCAAACTACTTGTATTCTTAGGAAATCGGTAAAACAGGTAAACCACAGCTTTTGAGGATGGGACTCTAAGGTGTCAAACAATTCATTTTGTCATCATAGTGTAAATGATTTTGGAATATGTAAACTCATACTTTGGTGTAACTTTTTCATTTATGTTATGATGGTTGTATTTACTTTGAGCACTATTATACTCGTTGTTGTGATACTATACATGAAGTCCACCACCCCCGGACGTTTCCGCCATCCTTGGTTTGGGGATGTGACATGTATGTTCTCGAGATCATGGATTATGACATGTTTGATGTCATTAAGAAGGATCCCACTGCCTCTATGCATCGATTCTCCAATGATAATGCATCCAATAGTGGAATAAAGAAGAAGTTTGTGCCAAGATACAAGGAAGAGAAAAGAGTTCTAAATCACGATGTACAGGTGAGGATTGCTATTGGAAACTTTGTTCCATATCATGTCTATTGTTTGGTTCAAAACTGTATAACTACATAAGAGATGATGAACACCTTATCATCCGCTTTCGACAGAGAAGGAATTTCTGATGATGAAGTTACAAAAGGGAAATGTCTTATGGCTCAAATCATTGAGTCTCATGTTGAAGCACCAAAGGACAGCATCAGTACTTTTGATGCTGACCATTCTCAAGATGCTAAGGACTCTAAATCTCAGGACTGGGACTCGTCCTCTATGTATCAGGTAAAGAATTTTGTCAACTACTCCTCTAATGAAAAGACTGACATGTTTGATAATCTATGTTTTGATCTTTCTATATCCAATAAAGAAAATCTTCTCTCAAAATTGAATTGAAAAACTTTAAAGAAAAATTCTATTTTTCTGAGAAATCCCTTTCTCTTTTAAAAAAGGAAAACTCTTGTATCTCGCTGACCAATAATTTTCTTCAAATTGAAAAACAAAAAAGTTGTTGATCATGCAAGAAGCATTAAGCTTATTTTAAACAATTGGGCTTCTTCTCAATGCAATGTCATGAGAATTATTAATGATCAAAGTCCATATCAGTTTGAGAAAATCTTTGGTGGTGATATTGTGGGTGATATTTCCTTAATAAAAAAGTTTGAGACTAAACAAACTTTTTATAACATTGATAGTCTCGAGAATGATTTTAAAACTAGATTTGTCCATACCTATTACATAAATGAAACTCTGATTGATAATCGTTGTACTACTGCCTCAAATGGTAATACCAAATGTATATATTGTTTACCTGCTCTTGAACCTTCTCTTCAACTTCCTCATCATGAGTATGTTTTTCCCTTCACTAAGATCTTGCTGAAATTTCCCATCTCGAATGGTGAAGTTCATTTTGTAAAAAACAATTCCCAGCATGTTTCCTCAATGCTCTGTTAGCAAAGTTTAATCTGTAGGTCAATCAAAGTTCTTAACTTCAGATGATTAATCCATCTCATCTGTGTCCCATGACCAAGTGGCATTTGTGTACATCACCGATGACATTCCTTGGTCTAAAACTAAAGCAAGAGTTTTCAAATTTAATGATCAAGATTCCTCAAGTTCTATTGTAAAAATAAATCAATGTTCTAATGTTAAAAGAAAGAATTATGGAAGAAGAGTTTGTTATGGGTGTGGTGATGCTTTTCACAGGGTCACCGAGTGTACATTTGAAGAAAGCTTTGTTCACGTTGACAATATCTTGACTCAAAATAATAAATGGATCAAGAAGGGAAACTCATTAAATTGTCTCCCTGATGCATGTTATCATATTTTCTCTGAAGTGACCCATTGATAAATGGGTCAGTGTATACTAATTGTATATTTTAGTTTTTCAGGGTAAAGAATATATTTGGTACTTAGATAGTTGTTGTTTAAGATATATGATATGATTCAAGTCACTTCTGGATGAGTTCGTAAAAAAGGATGGTCCAACTGTTACAGACGGAGACAATGGCAAGGGAGCTACAAAGGGATATTGCACTATTAAATGCAACTCTATTGTATTCAATAATGTTTCAAACGTAAAAGGTCTTCAGCACAATCTCATCTCAATCAACCGATTGTGTGACGCTAAGTATGAAGTTCATTTCAACAAGAAGGAAGGAAAAGTTGTTGATCAAAAGAATGTAATTATTCTGACTGCAAATCGACAGAATGACATCTATGTTCTGGACATGTTTTCTGCTGACAATTCTCTTCAATGTTGCTTCTTCTCTCATGCTAAATCTCATCTCAACTGGCTGTGGCACAAGAGACTATCTCACTTGAACTTGAAGAACATATCAAAGATTTCTGGGAATCTGCTTGTGCGAGGAATTCCTAAGATGCAATTTGTTAAAGATAAACTATGTTCAGCGTGTGAAAAAGGAAAGAAAACCAAGTCATCCTTCAAGTCAAAGCCCTGTTCCTCCATCACCAAACCATTTCATTTCCTCCATATGGATCTGTTTGGACCGTTTCCAATTAAGTCGAGATCTGCAAAGAAGTCCACCCTTGTCATCGTTGATGCATATTAATTTACATGGGTGATATTTTTGAGAAATAAAATTCATGATGTTGATGAAATCATATCACTCATCAAGCAATGGGAAGTTCTTTATGACCATAAAGTCAGGAAATTACATAGTGATCATGACATTGAATTCCTAAATTCCTCCTTAGAAGACTTTTGCTCAAATTCAAGAATTTCTCAAAATTTCTCTACTGTTAGAACCCCCCCCCCCCCCAACAAAACGACATTGCTGAAAGATGAAATCGGACTCTTAGATTTGCACCACCAGTCCAAAATTTTGATTTTGTTGCGAGTTTGGTCCAATTTGTTTTGACTTTTTTTTAAACGACAAATTTGCCTTTTATTTTTGTTTTTTTCTTTTCTTTTTATATACTTTAGTAATTTCCTTATTTAGAAAAAAACATAAAATAACTACTCACCTACTCCTACTAACCCACCCAACCCCACCTATTATTAACACACAAACTCTATCATTGTCTCTCTTTACCTTCATTGCTGATGGAAGATTTAAAGAGCCGCCAGAGCAGCCCATTGTCGCCGAAGAGCGTCGTCCTCCGGCAGCCGATCAAAGTGGTTTAAGGTTTGAAAACCCTAGCTTCGCCTTTCCAAATCTGAAACTCTAGATTTCTCCTCCGACATCGACGTTTGTAGGTATTTAAACTTGAAGATGTCAAGGATGCTAGGTGTGTTGTTACAAAGATGGCAATGCTAAGGTTTGTTGCAACAAATACAACATTTGTGGGTTTTAAAAACCATAGCTTCGTCTTTCTAGTTCTGCATATGGTGGCAGCGACATTATGATTTGATGAGACAAAGGGTTTGCTAACACCAGCAGCTCCGAAGAAGTGTTTTTAAAACCGTCAAAAGGCCCATACCATATGTTTATTGTTGGAGCTACACATATGTTCATTGTTGGAGCTCAGACCACCTTTTTTTTCTTTCCATATCTCATTTTGAACGCACCAAAGAGAGTGACAGAGAGAGAGAGAGATAGAGATAGAGATAGAGAGATGTTTTAGTTTTGTTAGGGTTTGAACTTGCCAAACCATCTATTTGTTGCTTGTGCTTTTACAAATCTTGTTGCTCTTGTGGCTTTCAAATATAGTAATGTATTGTTGTTAAAAATATGATTGTTCTTGTAGGTTTAAAAAATTGCTTGTTCTTAATTTTAAGGTTGCAAATCAGGAAAAATAGAATGTTTTCTTTTTCAGATCTGGAAAAAAGTGTTTGAATCCATCAGATGGTGGTGGTAGTTCATGAGTTTCACTTTGAAATTGTTGACCTGTAATTATCGTAGTGTTTTGTTAGTCAGATATGGAAAATTTGTGTTGCAGTGGTGTTGGTGGTGACCAACGGTGGCGGCAGTAACTGACGGTGGTGGGGTTCACTACTAGAAAACAGCCCTTTAATGACACACAAACAATGACACGCGCTGATTTACGATACGCATTTTTTGCGTGTCTTAAAAATAATGTCAATTTTACAAATTTTGAAGGATAGAGGACACGCATTTGTGTGTTCCCTAAAATTAATGTCAAACAAAAAAATACGGAGGGCACCTAAATTAAATGGGTATCGTGTATAGATGTCGTTTTATAAAATTTTAATACGCGCTCCCTCGTTAACAGCAGCTAAGGGGGGAAACAAAATCCCTAAATTTTTTGAAGACCCCACTTCTTCTACATCTGCTCATTCTCTCCTCTCCACCCACCAACCGACAAAGACCTTCATTTTCTCCCTCCTTTCTCTCTGCAAACCTTAGAAACCGCAACCACCATCATTATATCCAGAAGCATCTTCTATGTTTGCGTTTGAAGGAAGCATCAGCTTGTGGTGGCGTCTCCGGTGGAAATAAAAGGTGAAATTGAAAACTCCCTCCGGGTGAGTGAGAGAAAGAGAGAGACAGAAAGAAAGAGAGAGAGAGAGAGAGAGAGAGAGAGAGAGAGAGAGAGCAAGATAGAGAAAGAGAGAGAATAAATAAAAATGGGAATCAAAGCCAGGGAGTCCTCCGATGTCGGACGTCTCGAGATGAGAAGTGGTAGAGAAGATACCGGTCCAGCTACCATCCCAACAGTACCTCCAACTCCGTACGCCAGAGATAATGAGAGCGGCGCATAACGATTAAAAGGGAAGCTATATCATATCAGAATGAGCTTTGTTGCCTTTGTCGAACCAATATGTAACTTCATAATTTCCCTAACTCTTCTAAGAACGATTCCAACATTTTGGATCGTATTTTTCTTTTCTTGGCTTCTTATCGAAGAAAAGAACTTCCCACATATTATACTAATTTTGTGGGCATCAGGGACTTATGTAGCAGCTAGCAAACAATTTGAATTCACATTTTTCTTAGATAAATTTGGCTCTTATGCTATGAATACATGTTTCTGCAGTTATACTTCACAAATGGATGGCCTAAAAGAGCTTCTCCTCCCACCAAAACCTGCATCAGCTATATACCTTAGAGATGCATCATACAGGCCATATGCATCAGGTCACCAACCTTTTCAAGGAGTAGATGTTTTATGCCTCAAAAAGTGTGGTCAAGGTCTTCCTTCATGGATCCGTGTTCATGTTGCAACTGGTGATTCCCAAGTCATTGAAGTTGAAAAGTTCACTATAATGAGACGTTGTGATCTTCCTGCTCGTGATCTTCGCTTACTTGATCCATTATTTGTCTACCCTTCAACAATTATTGGAAGAGAGAAGGCTATAGTTGTAAATTTGGAACATATTCTTTTCATTATACCAGTTGATGAAGTTCTTCTTTTGAATTCTCTTGATAGCTATGTGTTACAAAATGTGGTGGAATTACAAAGATGATTGAAAGCTGCAGGGGGTGGTGAGGTGTGACAATCTGAAGAGGCAGAGTTGAACAGACGAATAGGAAATTCAAATAGTTCCATAGGGGAAATGTTTGGTAACACTTCACCTGACTACTTGCCCTTATAAAATAAATATGTGATAACCTAAAATAAATAAATTAATACTACATCTAGATATAATAACTTATAAGAAATGATGATTTTTTTAAATGTTGTGACCTTGGTTGGATAGATCCTGCAATGTCTCTCTATTCAAGGCTTGTCTTCATCGGAAGGTGGTTATGTTGGTGGTGATGGAGCTGGTAACAGCAGTGGAACTTCACGAGCACTCGTAAAGGATAAATTTGTCTTTTCAACTATTTGTTATATATTTAAAAACGAATTATAAAATTGATTGATATATAAATTGAAATGTGGTGGTTTAACTTTAGGTTGAAGATCTTCAATGGTCAGTTTGAAGAGCTTCATCAAAGACAATCTCAATGGACCGTTCCTGACACAGAGCTTAGAGAATCTCTCAGACTTGCAGTTGCTGAAGTCTTGTTGCCTGCATACAAATCTTTCATTAAACGTGTTGGGTACATTTTTTTATGTAATCTATCTCAATTGTCAGGCTCAAATAAATGAAAAAAAGTAAACAAATATTTTGTTTTCTATTTTTTTTACAATTACAAGGCACTTGTTGAGAATGGGAAGAATCCCCACAAGTACATAAGGTAATCAGCAGAGGATCTTGACCGGATGCTTGGTGAATTTTTCAAGGGTAAGACTTTGAACGAAACAACATGATAGAGATAGCAAGATGTTGAATTACTCTTTTACCCTTGTGGTATGTTAGTGTATCCTGAAGCCTAAAAGGGCATGGCATGTATGTTCTTTTTGTATGTATTAGGGTAATAAGGATATGGGTATGCTTAAAAGTTAAAGAATAGAAAATGCAGAAACTTTGATTAATTTTTTTTCTTGGTTGGTGTTGGTAGTTAGTATGTTACTACTGTTGTGTACTATTCATTTGTAATTGTGTAAAGGTTAGTGTAACAAGTTGCCTCTTTAATCACATTCTTGCTCTCTATGTATTTTTCCTGGGTCAACGTGGCATTCTATTAAGAGTGCATCATCGTGCATTTGTGAATTTGATGGTTTGGTGCCAGGTGAGGGAGACCTTGTGACAGGTGGCGATCTATAGCCTCTGTTGAGGATCAATTACGCAATGACGATCCCGAAAGATCAGTAGACTCTGTTGAGGATCAATTACGCAAAGAAATGACTGCCTATGAGGTACATTTCCTATAAATTCCAAGTCCGAGAATCATAAGCCTTTTTTTGCATCATTATCAAAGGGTATTTAAGACATTTGGTGAATATTTAAAATTATCATTATGTGAAAGTTTGGATACTTTTGATAGAAACTTATAATATTTAAAACTATAATATGGATGTAACACAATAGACCCACCAAAATCTATATATTCATATGATTATACAAATCAAATCACTAAAATAAGTACTCGTGTCCCTTCATAAAAACACACAATCGATAAAAAAAATAAGAAAATCAAAAACCTTTTGGCCTGATGCAGCAGCCTCGGGCTTCTCCATTTCCATGGCACCAAAATTCCTATTGTTGTCTGCTGCTTTTGGGTTTGGGCTTGCAGCATTCTCTGAACCAGCCTGCTGCTCAGCTGCAGGTGAGGGTAGTGCCTCTGGCGGTGTGGCTACCTTTGGTGGGGCCAACTTTGGTTTCGACATTATTGGCCTACATGCCCTGTAGACACATATAAAAACTAAAACCAATGTTTACTATATTTTATTTAACAAAAACAAAAAAAGTGGAATATCTTATATATTATACTTTTCGATTGCCTCTGCTTTCCTTCTTATATCAGATGACAAAAGTGTTGGAAAAGGTGTCTAAGCTCATAAATATAATTGGTATGTACTTGACCCGATAGTAGCATGGTCCATTTGGGTTGCATTCATCAAAGCAATATGTTAGGAAGGATATTTGAGTAAGAGGTTAATTATGATTTATTAATATATTATAAGTATAATATATTAATTGAGGAATCATATTATTTTATTAGTATTGATCAAGAATTAATTTAAGGATTAATTTAGTGATCAAAGGAGACTAATTAAATTGATACATATGAGTTGGGCTAATGATCCATGGTTTGATTTGTGATGGGCTTATGGGTTAATCCATGAATTATTTATCCACATCAAATGGGTGACTGATGAGCTTATGGGTATGGATTAGGGTTACACATGACCCTTGATATTCTACACACACACACGCATATATATATATATATTATATATATATATATATATATATATATATATATATATATATATATATATATATATATATATATATATATATATTCATAAGCTAAAATCGGTTACACCCTTGTATTCCAAGAAGTAGAATCGGATTTCTAGTCTCCATAACCTCTTCATATTCATCCTAATTGTTCTTGGTGTTTTGTGATTCCATTTGAGGCATCACACTTGGGTTGCTAAGCTTTCTTGAGGCCAAGTTATTCAAGCTACTACACAAGGTAATATTCTAACTAGTTTTTTATGATTCAAATATCACCTTGCCTGCGAGTTTAGGCTTCATGCTTTGGAAAATGTTTATTGCATGTATAATTAGAGAAAACTTAGATCCAAAGCATTAGGGTTGTATGTGCACCATAGGAATGTTAGAGTACATAAAACCGAACAGTGGTATTAGAGCCATGGGTGTTTTCTATTGTATTGATGCAGTTGTGTGATTTTCAAAGATGAAAAACTGCATTTCCGGATTCTGCCAGGGCCAACTCGCCGAGTCCATCATTGAGCTCAACGAGTTGGATGATGTTTGACTTGAACTCGACGAGTCCATTATGGCACTCGACGAGTTGATGCATCTGATGGCATAATTTTCGAGTTTATGCCCTGTTTTGGATTAGGAACATTACCACAAACTGTTTTGGTTCATAAAATTCGATTTTAATTATATGGTAATGTCTATCCCCATCTAATAACAGGATGTTTATCAAATTCTAAGATATCTACTTGTTTTTGTGATATACTAGTTATTTGTAAAATTTGAAGTTATCATGTACTATGAATCAAATTAGGTCAAATTGGTAAATGATCATCATATCGTAATTGGATTAGTTAATTTGATCTATGTATGTTCTTGAAAAGGTTCCATAACTTATCCTCAAGTTATGGAATATGAAAACTCTTTATTTGTGAAACCATTAACAAATATAAGTTATAGAATTCAAAGAGTCTTGAAAGGTTTCATAACTTGTACACAAGTTTGGAATTGGAAAGGTCTCATTCATGGAACATAAAAGTCCATTAGTTATGAATTTTAAAAGTCTTGACAAGTTACAAAACTTTCCCTCAAGTTTTGGAACTTGAAAAGTTACATTAATGAAACTTTAATTCCAAACCCTAGAATTTTAAAAGTTTAAAATTCAACCCTTATACTATTATAATATTAAAGTTTAATAATTATATATATATATATATATGTATAAATATATATATATGTATATATATATATATATATATATATATATATATATATATATATGTATAAGACAAGTTCGTCTTACCGTTCGTAGGCCTCATTCACGAAGACAGTCTATAAGGGGGGTATAAGGTTACTGCCTATAAAATGGTGGTTTAATGGGTGTCCACACTCACCCACCGCTTCCTTGACTGGTGGAGGGTCGTTAGTCGAACGGGTAGGATAGGACATTAATTCTCATTAATAAGTATAATGAAATTATAAAGTAACTAAACTTTTATAAATTCCCAATCTTAGTTCATTTAGGAAAAATGTGAAAATGGTGTTATTCCATGAAATTGCACTTTGCACCTTGTTAAGTCGTTAATAGAGCATGTGTGGTTAACCGGCACACTAATTTGGGGCTGACAATGTGTGGCAAAGGGTAGCTTGGTGTTAATCATGGATCAATGGAGCGCGTGTGGTTAACCGGCACATTGATTAGGTGATTTGTAACATTGAGAGTACCAAGCTAATTTTCATGGTTATTCACTCTTTGTTTGGGATCCTCGGTATCCTAGTCACAAACTTGAAGGGCATAATCGAGATTTAAACATGCCATTGAAAAGTTCAATGAATCTCAAAATAATCTAGTAATTTCAATTCATTTAAAACTTAATATTCTATTTCGTTTTCATGGTGGAAATTGGTAAATCGTAATTTACCTACCTTCAAATATTTTGCAATTGGATTACGACATCCCACTTCCGAATTGTAAAATATTGTGTTGGGTCCTAGCCTTAATATTTCATTTGGGTGTTATATTAAGGATCATTATATAATCTAAACTTTGTCTTTCTTTTCAGATGTCTACTTAAAACAAAGCTTCCAACTCAATCCTTTCCGGCTCTTTCTCCCTCATAAACTTATGTGGGAGGGTCATTTTCGATGGATTGAATTTCAATGATTGGAATCGAAACATCCGAATGTTTATTCGTTATGAGGACAAAGAATATGTCCTTGATAAAGAGCTTAAGGAGATTAATGAATCAACTGTTACTCCCGAACAGATTGATGAGTACAAAACTCATGAGAGGGACGCGACCAAAGTGTCATGTATAATGATCGCTACCATGACTGCTGAGCTTCAGAAGTCCTATGAGGACTTTTGGACTTATGAAATGCACCAGGATTTGATGGAAAGGTACCATCAAAGTGCTCATAATGAGAGGTATGAGATCATTGCCTCCATGATCACGACCAAAATGAAGGATGGAGAGTTCATCACGGCCTACTTGCAAAAGATGCAAAGGTTTGTGGACCGCTTGCTGAAGTTAAATGTAAAGTTCGATGAAGAGTTGGCTATAGATATTATTCTACACTCTTTACCTCCTTGTTATGATCAGTTTCGTATGACTTATCATATGAACAAGGAGGAGGTCACTCTAAGTCAAATCTGTTGTACCTACTCCTACTGCTACTGCCCCTGTCCTGGAAATTTGTAATGGAAAGGGAAAGAAGAGGAAGAATCCTTCCAAGAGTCACAAAGGAAATTCCCATGTTGGATCCTCTTCTAGTGGGACTAAAGTTGGTTCTGTCACACCCTCTTCCAATTCAAAGGAAGTCGAGTGCTTCCATTGCCATGAAAAAGGGCACTAGAGACGAAGTTGCCCCAAATACTTGTAGGACATAAAGGAAGAGAAGATCAAACCCTCCTTCGCAGGTATTTATACTATTCTGTCTAATAACTCATCACATGCTAATTCTTGGGGTCCTTGATAGAGGATGTAGTTTTCACATTTGTTCTGATTTGCAGGGTCTAAAAAGAAGTAGGGATGTGGAGCACGGGAAGATGAACTTAATCATGGGGAATAGGAAAAAGTCGCCTGTCACAAAGATTGGAGTTTATTCTTTATTTCTTAATAGTGGGTTAAAATTAGATTTGAATAATTTTTGCTACTCGTCTGATATGGCGAGAAATATTATTTCATTTCATAGTTTGTATAAACAAGGTTTTACCTTTTTGTTTTAATAATGAAATTGTTAATATTAATGCCTATTATAATGGTGTATTTTATTTTGAAGCATTACCTTGCAATGGCATATATGAAACTGTGATGATTGTAGATAACTTAGGAAATAATTTGTTGCATATTGATTCATCCAATAGTTTGGATAAATCATGCTTATGGCATTGTCGTCTT